GAAGAAACATATTTTGATAATATGGACAACAAAAAGAATGTGGTGCATATAATGCCCACCGTGGAAATGCTGGTTACTTTCACCGCCGACAGGGACTTAATGCGCGCCAAAAAAGCTTGTTTACTGTACGCCGAAAAAGTCGACTTCAAGGAGCTAATCGTAAGCCACTCTTACAGAAAACAAGCTTTAATTATAAATATGCAGAATATTAATGTACATGCACTTGCAGCAATTGCGTTTGGCCGAGAAATGCGACCAACGGCGCATGTATATCACCACTGTGGACAGCGCATCCTTTCAAGAGTTGAAACAGGATCAGTCGCTAAATGTTACATTCGCTGGCTTTATGGAAAATGTCGTGCGTATGCTGAAAGACTGTCAGGCCGGCAAACTTGAGCTGTGCCTATCCTCCAGGGAAACTATCGCCGATCAACAGAGTCACGACTACCTTCTCCAGTTCGTGGAAATACGATCCTTCAAGAATTTGGTTCATTTGTGTTTGCCCTGCCGTTCTGCCCCACTAAACACGGTGCTCTTTTATATTAATGCAGCGCTAGATGCAACGCACAAGAAGCTATTTTTGGTGGAGCAGAGCGCGCAACAGCTTCAAATGGAATTAAATGCTCAAAATGCGCACATAGATCAATTAAATTCCGATAATGCCAAATTGCGTGAAACACTGGCCGAGAATACACGCCAGCTTACTGAAAAGCATTCCGCGGAACTGAGAGAAATGCAACTCACACTGGAAAAGCAGAACGAGCAACGGAGCAATGAGTTGGACCGCAACCGACGTTCGATTGCTGGACTGCAGGCGCAATTGGAACGAATCACGTTAGAGAAGGCAGAACTAAAGACCATGCAGGAGCAAGCCGAGAAGCGCACTCAGAGCTTAAACGAAGAGCTCTCCTGCTGCAAATCGCGGATTAGCACATTAAAGGAGCAGCAGGAAAAACTCCAAACCGAATTAACAACAGCTAAGAAGCAAGAGCGCAAGTTGGAGTACAAAATAGAAGACTTAAAGCAGCACACTCTCGAGCTACAGGAGAATATACAAAAGGGAAATAAAGAGAAAGTGAGTAACATATATTCTAATTTATTTCTATACTCATTATGTTTCATATGCAGGCCAACATTGCTGCAGAGCTGGAGGCGGAGAAGAAGATTCTGCATACAAAACGTCAAGCGCTGGAAATGGCTTCTGATGAAATAGCCAAAGCGAATCAAATCATCCTCAAGCAATCGCAAGAGCTGCTCACCCAGAAGAAGACAATCACATGGCGCACCGAGGTGGCGCTTCAGCAGGAGAAGGCAATAAAAGAGAAGGAAAAGCTGTTGAGCATGCAGGAAGACGAGTTGCAGCAGGCGCGCTTAACCATACAGCAGCTGCGCGATGAAATTCCACAGCAGCTGGAATCCATGCGACATTTTGCGAAGGGCCTTGAGGAAAAGTACACGACCCGTAAGTTGATCTAAATACAAATATATACTGTTTTAAGCATATATCATATCTCTTGCAGAAATACTCACGCTCAAGGCACGCTTAGCCGGTGGTAAAGAAAACTCCAGTCGCAGAGCTAATCGGAAATAGGCCAACTAATATTTAGTTAATTAAGTATTGTATAAATATGATGATTGTTAGTTAATTATTTTAAACCGTGCTTTAATTAAACAATATTTATGTCGATCGATTGTGGGCTCAATAATCTTCATCCGCATTTTTTTCCGCTTGCACTTGCGCCGTGGCTACATTTACGGCCTGGCTGATGTCCTCAAACTGGTTCATTTTCAGTCTCTCGCGTATAAGTTCGGCAATGGCTTTCTGTGTTCGCCGTTCTAGTCGTTCCAGCTTTTTGCTCACGTCCCGCTTTAGATCCCAGTCCGGCTTGCGTGGAGCCAGGTTCGTGATGTCAATTTCATCGATAACCATTGGCTGTTGCAGCATATTAAGCTGTGACTGGATGGCAGTTTCAATATCACCGGTGGGCTCTTGTGGCAGTACTTCTCCCTCTGTGGTTTCATTATGCGGCTTATAGCTGCGAAACACTGGCCTGCAACACCAAAACATTTTACTAACATGTAAACAAACAGAGTCGTACCAATCTTACTTTGGCAGTTTTTCACCGTCGCCTTTAGTGTCCGTAGTCTTGGATAGCGCTTGTTCACGCAGCTTTTTTAATCGCTCCTTACGTTTCAGAGATTCCTCTGCCAGCTTGCCCAAATTGTTTTCATCATCATTAGCCATTGCTCAAATAGATATAAACCAAAATATGGGGTCTCTTCTTCAATGTCTCTTCTTTTACTTCGATAAACGATTTTTATTGACTATCGATAGTGAAATACATGGAGGACACAAACTTTGCATTTCTTTGATACATCTGTAAAACTATTTTAATATCGAAAATTAAAAATAAATAATATGATTTCCTTCCATTTTCATCAGTGAGCATAATAATATAATCCTAAAAATATTCGATAGTCAGATTTTTCAGATTTACAAACAAAATCTAAGTGAATTTTTACAGAATAATAATAGTAAAAAAGAAAATTAGTTAAATTTCCAGCCGATATACATTATCGATATGCTTGCGAATACTCAATTAGATACACAAACATTGCAAGTTGGCAGTTCCCGTTTTCCAGGCATAAGTGTGAGGGGCGAATAAAAACAACGCAAATTTTTTACCTGAAAAATAAATAAAAACAATCACAGTTTCTATTTGCTTTTATCACTCTGCAGATCTTTTACTATTGCCAATGAGCTAGCTATTCATCAATCAAATATACAAACAGCGATATATAATAATGTAGCAGCTGCTGTTGCAATTGGTCTTTGGAGTAATACAAAATTTGCTGCTGTTGCTGCTGCTAGCGAGCGCCCGTTGCTGCAGGTAAAGGAAAACGCTTTAGTGGCTATTAAAAACTATTTTTATGTACTTAACAAGCGACACATCGAGGCGTGTGCTAATTTCAAATTTGTTTTCGATTAAAGGGAGCTGCAGCCACTGTCGCCGCGTCTACAACTAACTGCAGCGGCATCCACACACACACACAAACACAGGCGCACACAGAGAGAGATACATATACACATAGAGCGCCTCGTAGAACTCATTGTTCTGTGACTGTGACATCGTTTATACAGTCGTCGCCTCACCCGCTGCTCGTTGCGCGCTGCCCGTTGCCCACTGCCCGCCGCCGGTGGCCCGGCTCTTCAGTCAGCTATAGCTGTATCTAAAAATGGAGTGGACCAGAGAGAAGACATTGCTGCTGATCAGCGAGTACCGACAGCGACGCGGACTGTGGGACATGACATGCGACGAGTATCGCAAGAAGGATGTCAAACAGCGTCTACTAAACGAAGTTAGCGAAGTTCTCGGCGGTAACATACCCATACCAGAGTTGGAGAAAAAGTTCCATACACTCCGCACACAATATCATCGCGAGATTAATCGCATGAAACGCAAGGAGCCGTACAATTCAAAGTGGTTTGGCTTTAAGAATCTCGTCTTTCTTAGCTCTCCGTTTGCGTGTCGCTCCACCAAAGGCCGCTCCAAAGACAAGGACGACGCAACAGTACAAAAATATATATTGGGCGACGTGAACGCTGCTGGCACTACAGAAGGCAACAATATGAACGACGAGTATATAGTAACACCGCGCAAATCGCACGCGAGCAGCCGAGCACAGGAGCTGGAGAAGCTGATCGAGGAGACGACCAAAGATATAGAGGATACTGAGGACGAGGAGCCCGGTGTGGAGGAGGATGTGGATACCAAACCCAAGCTAAACAAAGAGCTGAGTGGCACGTACGTGCACATTAACGAAGATGAAAGCGAGGCGGTCGAGACACATACACACCAGCAGCAACAGCACACCCATGCCCACACCCATTCCCTACCCCATACACATCCGCATCCACATCCACATCCACACCACCATCAACAGCAATCCTTAATGGAGTTGCATCACTCTGCAAATGCAGTGGAATCGGTCAGCTTTCAGGCCAACGAAAGTGGCGAGCTCCACTACCAGTCGACATCCTCGACGCCCAACGCTGGTGGCGGAGGTCCTAGCTCCTCGGTGCATGTGATGCCAACACGTATCATAAAAATACAGCGGCGCGACACGTCCAACCAGGAGAATGGGTATTTCGAGGAGCCGCAGACGCAGCATCAGCTGCATCCGCCGCCGCCCAAGCGACTCTACTTCGATCCGAATGGCACGCACAGCACCACAATTCTATCCGCATCCACGCTGCAGACGGCTTCGCCGAACGTCAACGGTAACGGGAATGGCAATGGTGGCAATGTGTTGACCGCAACCTCCAGCTCCGGGCTAACTGGTGGCACACTGCGCCTGCCACGTGTCAATACCATAGTGAATGCCACTTCGCTGTCACCACCAAAGCCAGCCAGTTCCCCAATACCTCAGCCGCAGTTGGCTGGGGCTAGTTCACTGCAACGGGACGAATTCGCCACGTACGGCGAATACGTGGCCAATGAGATGCGTGCCATTACCAACAGGGAAGTCTTGATCGCACTCAAGCACAAAATAAATACAGCCATATTTGAGGCGAATATGGCAGAGTTGCAAAAATAAAAGTGTCAGCCATATTTGAGAAGAATATGGCTCTAGTTGGAGCTGAGCGATACCGGCGGCCATACTTGAGGCGAAGTTGCGGAATATGGAAAATGTGGCGGCCATATTTGATGTGAATATGGCTGAGTTGCAGAAATTCAGTTAAATAGCATGTGGAAATATTATCAAGGTTTTTAGCAACAATTTAAATTAAGTGTCCAACCCCAGTAATTATTATTGTAAATCTATGTTTTAACCTGTAAATTTGACATAAATTCACATTACAAAAATTTGATTAAATAAGCCAAATATAACATTTAGTAGAATCCGAATATACACATACATTGTTCAACTATATTCACACTAAGTAGGCAACGAAACCCATTTAGCGACGAAAATTATTTTTGTATAAATTTTGGTCAAAATGACTATGAATCCAATCTGCGAACCGTTTACAAATTTCCCAGCCCGATTTGATATAGAGAAAATTGCAGAGGAATTTAAGCCGAAGGACAAAGAAAAAGATGTTGAGAAAACTCTTAGCCCCCGCGATTTTCTCAATGTTCCCGACAAGGACTGGGTTGTGTTGCCCATGTTTAAATGCCACTTGGATCATTTGAAGCCGGTTCTTTCTGTACGCAAAAATAAGTATATGCGGTGCCGTTACAGACAATTTCTGGACAACGTTCCCGAGCACTTTGTCAATGTGACATTGTTTAGTGCAAATATTAACAAGTATTTATTTTCATTTCCTTACTTGAAGAGACTCCCAATTTATATACATTAATTAGTCAGCCCAAACCAAGACGAAAATCTCTTAATGGTCAATTTTATGGTGTGGACTATAAATTGGCGCCCATACCCGTTTCAGTCGATCCGCGTGCGGCCGGCGGCTCCAAATCAGTCAAATCGAAACATTCCAAGTTGTCAAATTCAAAAAATTGAAGGTAAGCGCCAATCAGCTATCGCGCCATTGGTCATTATAAATAGTTATCGAACAGATACAGACTGGAGTCATCGGCAGATGTGCAACCCTGACACATTAAAACTATGAGTGTTTGGCAACACTGCTCGATCAATTGAGACGAAAAATGTTTACAAAATGCATTAATTGTTGTGCTTCAATCATATTTTGTGTAATATTCGCATGCCTTTTGGTCGAAAACAGTGGTAAGTATCGCATTGAAGATAACTGTATTCTTTTTCATTCAAATAACGAATTGTTCCGACCACAGTTGCCCTGAAACGGACTCTGCGCCACTACGAAGTTTTCCACAAAGATGACATTGTTCATCGGATTATCAAGAGGGGGGCTAAAAAGAGCAGCAATCCATATAATACTATCAAAGAGCTAGAGTTTAAAACACTTGGGAAAAACTTTCGCGTGATTTTACATCCACATCGCGAAGTGCTGCACAGCAACTTTCGTGCCTATGCCGTGGATGCCGATGGCAACGAGACTGTTGTACACCTGGGTAAGCAAGCAATTATGCAGCTTTCGAATATCTGAGAATTGTTTAAATAATGTGATGTCGATTCCAGATCATGACAGCTTTTATACGGGTCGCGTGTTTGGCGAGTTGGAGTCATCGGTGCGCGCGCACATTGAGGATGGTACCCTGACCATGTCCATAGAACTGCCCCAAGAAACGTACCACATAGAGCCTTCCTGGCGCCACTTGCCCACAGCCAAAAAGCATACGATGGTCGCCTACAAATCTTCCGATGTTAAACTCAATCATGCTGAACCGGGTGACCAGGTTCCCAAAACCTGTGGCTATATCAAAGAGGGCATCGAGCTAGAGGCCAAGGACAATGAGGTGCACGCGCGCGAAAAACGCCAATCCGATCAATACGAGTACACGCCCACCAAGACGAGGTGTCCATTGTTGCTGGTGGCGGACTATCGTTTCTTTCAAGAGATGGGCGGAGGCAATACGAAGACAACTATCAATTACCTAGTGAGTGGCATTTGCCCATCCCCTGCTTTCGACTATCAATTAATTGCCTTGCTTGTTGCTTTCAGATAAGCCTTATCGATCGGGTGCACAAAATTTACAATGATACTGTATGGCAGGATCGCTCCGACCAGGAGGGTTTCAAGGGAATGGGGTTTGTGATCAAGAAGATCGTCGTGCACTCGGAGCCAACGCGCTTGCGTGGCGGCGAAGCTCACTACAATATGATACGTGAGAAATGGGATGTACGCAACTTGCTAGAAGTAAGTTTGAACTGCAATCCGTCCCCTCGATTAATCTGTAATTCGTTTGTATAGCTAAAACTTGTATATATTGTTCTACTGCTAACACTCTCTCACCTCTCATCTCTTGCTTACCTAACATTTCGATGGCGCTTTATGTAGGTCTTCTCACGGGAATACAGCCATAAAGACTTTTGTTTAGCTCATCTCTTTACCGATCTCAAATTCGAAGGCGGCATTTTAGGCTTGGCATACGTCGGTTCACCACGCCGCAATTCTGTGGGTGGTATCTGCACACCAGGTTGCAAACCCTATCCGATACATATATATACGCAATATAATGTTTTTTATCATTATCATTTCGCTTAGTCCCCTTTATTTCGTTCTTTTCTTGTTGTGTTTTTATTCTCTTTCTTTTGAATTCAGGAATCCTTGCAGAGCATATTTTGGATATCGATATCGATAGTTATATAGAGCTGACTTCATATTAATGCTGTCCACAGTTGTCTTAAATCTACTTTGGCCAGACTCGGTTTTTAGCATTTGGTTTAGATATATTGCAGTTCCATCTATCCCTATCAGTAAAATTCGCTATGATCTACATATGTACACATAGCATTCATAGCGCATTATAAATATTATTTTTCGATAGCTCAGGGAAATAATGCAGATAGAGGCCAAGTTTGATTGCACTCTGCATATATTAGAAGTATTTGATTCTGGATATGTATCGTATATAAAAAATGTGCTCTGCGCAGGGTCCAGGGTAGCTGATAGTCGGGTGAGCCCGACTAGAGTATTCTGCGTTTGATATAATTTGGCATAATTTACTTTAGCTTATCCGATTTTCTAGAATATATGCTAATTAATGTTATTTTCTGAACAACTATTCCAAGAATACTTCAAGAATGGTTATACACTCTATCTGAACTCGGGTCTCAGTAGCTCTCGCAATCACTACGGCCAGCGCGTGATAACCCGCGAGGCTGATCTGGTAACTGCTCATGAATTTGGACACAATTGGGGATCGGAGCATGATCCCGATATACCCGAGTGCTCGCCCAGTGCCTCCCAGGGTGGCAGTTTTTTAATGTACACCTACTCTGTGAGCGGCTACGATGTGAATAACAAGGTAAGTGAACAGAATTTATATATGAAACATATGTATATATATATATATATATATATATATATATTATAATGGCTTATGCTTACAGAAATTTTCACCCTGCTCGCTGCGCTCCATTCGCAAGGTTCTGCAGGCGAAGTCTGGACGCTGTTTCTCGGAGCCGGAGGAATCCTTCTGTGGCAATTTACGCGTCGAAGGCGATGAGCAGTGCGACGCAGGATTGCTGGGCACCGAGGATAACGACTCGTGCTGCGACAAGAACTGCAAGCTGCGTCGCAATCAGGGCGCCATGTGCAGCGACAAGAACTCGCCCTGCTGTCAAAATTGCCAATTTATGCCAGCGGGCATGAAATGTCGCGAAGCTCAATACGCCACCTGTGAGCAGGAGGCACGCTGCACCGGCTCCCATGCCGAATGCCCCAAATCTCCAGCCATGGCCGATGGCACCATTTGCCAAGAGCGCGGCCAGTGCCGCAATGGCAAGTGTGTGCCCTACTGCGAAACGCAAGGCCTGCAGAGCTGCATGTGCGACATCATCGTCGATGCATGCAAGCGCTGCTGTCGCATGAGCATCAACGAGACATGCTTCCCAGTTGAGCCACCCGACGTACTGCCCGATGGCACGCCCTGCATAACTGGCTTTTGCAATAAGGTACACATATTAATGATTGCAACTAGAGCTGATAGCCATACAGATAGCCCTCACTTTCCTTATGTCTTCCGCTCTTCAATGAACTTACTTAAAAATCTTTTTTCAGGGTGTTTGCGAGAAAACCATTCAAGATGTAGTTGAACGGTTTTGGGACATTATTGAGGAGATAAATGTAGCCAAAACGTTGCGTTTCCTCAAAGACAACATAGTCAGTAAGTAAATGTTACGATAGCCTAATAAATTGCCATATATATATGTATATTTACATCCTTGCAGTGGCTGTTGTCATGGTTACGGCTGTCTTCTGGATACCCGTCAGCTGCGCCATTTCATATTTTGACCGTAAGAAGCTGCGTCACGAAATGAAACAAATCGAATGGAGCCACAAATTAGATCTCATTCATCCCAGCGACGAAAGGCGTCGCATCATACATATACGGTGAGCCGATCTATATATTCTATATGCAAACTATATATAATTATACGATTCTCTGTGCATTTGCAGCGTACCGCGGCAGAAAATCTCAGTAGCGCGCGCTTGTAATTAACATAAAATATATGGTGGCGGACAATTGTTTTATCTTCCGTGAGCATTCTTCTCAAAACTGCCACAATTATTTATATAAATTAAGTATAACATTTAAAGAATATGAATAAAATTCCCAATAACATAGACCAATACAAAACGCCATATGCAAATATTTCATGTCCTAAGGTTTCTCGATAAAAAATCATCACAACTTTGAATTTAGCTATGAAAAAAATGCATATTATAATGTATATAGACTCTATAATACATACAATTAATGAAACATGAATTCATTTCGATGTGTTTTGGATTGTTTTTGTTTATTCATACTTTACCAAAAATATGTTTCTTTCAGAGTGTTGCAGCATTCTGTTATTAATTATGATTGTTTTTTCTTTTATATAGTTTGTATATTAGCTTAATTTCTTGTTATTGTGTATTACTTCTTTTTATTGCTCTTTCCATTTGTTTGTGGAGAGCAATCGTCCTCAGCCTCCAGCTCGCTGTCATCTTCATCATCCGAATACTCCTCGTACATTTGACCATCGTCATATTCACCCAAGTTCATTTCCGCCTTCAGAAGTGATATAATTTACTTTTTGAAAAATTACAATAAAAGTTACGCGTTTACCTTGCCGCACACATAGACCGGCCCCGTGCCCTGGACAAGCTTAAATGTGACGGATCCATTGGGGAATTCAACATTTGGTCGCAAGCTGCGAGTTTCTCCAACCTTCAGAACAGCAATGGGAATTTTGACTGTCTTCTTCTCGCCGTCGTCGTTCACGTTCGTTTCCGCCTGCAAATGGGCGAGTAGTTTTGTGTTATACGATATTCATGCACTACCTCTCACAGCCGCTCTGCCCCCTTTTGACCAGACAGAGCTCTATCAAAGTGTTGGTCAGTGTTTTTCCATACCTGAACGACGTTGAATTCGCCGGACTTCGCCTCAGGTCCCAGGGATATCTGTTTGATGATCAGCTTGTGTGAGTGTACGATATACTCCTCTGGAATTTCCGGCACATCGAATTGTGCAATTGGCTCCTTTTCACTGAGGGTAACACCTAAAAGAATAATAGCCGTTAAATATACACACATATACATATGCTTATATATATATATATAGTCTGCCGGTAGTGCTGTGTAAGCCAACTATTGCATTCAGCATTCAGCCGTTGGTAGACCTTAGCAATTATTTCAGTTTCATTACCGTAAAAAGACTCGGACTCCATTTGTAAGCTCGTAGACACGTTCTTGTACAGTTCAATTAAAAAGTTTACGAAAACTCTACTTTTCACACGTGCCCCGTGCAATGGCGATAGCTAAAGAGTCAAACGCGGCTGGAATGATGCCATGCATTCATCGATGATATCGATATAATCAGCCGCCGATAGTCCTTGTTTATGCGAACTATTTACTGAAAATTATATTCAAAATAATTTGTTCAATTCAAGCATTTAATATAAGGTATAAGATATCCATTTCATTGAATAAAAAAGTAGCGAACAAATAATTACGACTGTATCTTGCTGTTAATGCCAATAGATCTGGTAACGCCAAGAATGGCTAGCACATCTCTATCGTGAGTTTCATCCCTAATTAGTAGCTACCATTTTGCAAAAGTTTTTGCTCAACACGTGCTCGGCGCTTGAATTTTGGGTTTTAAACTATATCAAATAATTGCAATGGCAGAGGAATCATTCTATGGTAAATATAAATTAGCGGCGAGCGGCTTGCGTATTATGTGAGCGACTGCAATTGGAGTATTTGCACCGTGCTGGCCTGGGTTGCCGGCTGCCGGCATTTTTATTCAAGGTTGCGGATCTTCGTGAGTGTGTGTGTGTGTTCATTGGCGCATGTGTGTGTGTGGATATAGCATTCGTACACGGGAATAAATTGTCTGTGTGTGGTTAAACGTTTAAGTAGTTGTAATTTGATTTTTTCTAAATCCACAATAATATGTTTAATTTTATTAGGTGTTACCCTTAGCGCGGAAAACAACAGCGTCACCTGGGACGTTGTCGCCGACGAGGACTATGCGCGAGGCCAGAAGCTGGTCATCAAGCAGATTCTGCTGGGCGCCGAGGCTAAGGACAATGAATTCAACGTGGTTGAGGTAAGTGCGGCAGTGCAAATCAAATATGTCTGAGTGAGTGTGAGAGCAAGTATATGTGTGTCCGTCTGAACATGAGTGTGTTTGTGTGTGTGTGTGTGCGTGCTGCGAATCTCTTATTGAGTTTGATGCATGGACCAGACCGGTTTGAATTCTTTAAGCACGCGCAACATTTTGCCGTGGGCAAAGGGTAATTTTGTCTGTATCTGCAATACGCGCCCTTTGTCTGATATCGTTGTTTGCATATCTGTGACGTCATAAATGCCCAAAAGTCTGCTTTTGCCTACAATCAAGCTTCGGATACCCTCTAATCAAATGTAGCTGAATAGAGTTAGCTATGTTCACATCAAGAAATACTTAAATTACTATCATATAAAATTAATAATACGAATATTTAAGCATAATTGATCAAGAGTATAGATTTTTTGTGGCAAATATATTTATATCCTTAAACTATTTATAAATAATGTCTTAAGACATTTCCAAGAAAACTTTGAGCTTATCTGATATGAAGTACTTGTAGCACATATAGCTCGTATCTAGCACGTCGTACAGGGTATTTTCGGTGCAACTACTTGCCATTCGCAAAATGTAACTGTACAATACAAAACACATTTCATTATTGACTTAAGCGTCATGAAATTTGATCAACTTGACTGCTGTCAGTGGGACAGTTGTTGCCGGTGCTGTTGCTGTGGCTCTTGTTGTCGCTCTCACTCTTGCTGTTTCCATTGGCCACCATTTCTAATAGCTCGGAAAAGTTTTTGGTGTATCTGAACATGTTTCGAGCCTTCCTCTGCAGTCGGCAAACGACGCCCGCCGCTGCCATATTCCAATTCCAGCAGATAAGCTCGCACTGCAGCTGCTGTAGATCGTCCCGTAAAGATACCAGATTCTAAATAGCAAAAGTCAAATTATATATTAATGATATGATATAATGGCTATAAGTCTACAAGTCTACTTGCCAGCGCAACAGTTGAATCGATTGAGCCAATTTCTGAACCTTTGATGATCACCAATGAGACAGTTTTCTCCATCATTGTCTTCTGCTCCGTCACGAATGCCACGGTTTTTATGTTCAATGACTCCGCTGCCGTGTAGTCCACGTTACCCTTTAGCTCAGCCACGCACAGTTCGAGGCCGTTGTGCTATTTGGTATTGGGGAATTGGTAACGAATTGAAAGTGAAATTGCAAATCACGTGGCTATGCCATATTTAATCTTACTTTTTGTGATTCAAGCTGAAACTGTGGCGTCATACTCTTGCCCAGTATGAAGAGCGCATTGATAAGGACGCCCACCAGCATGCCGTACTCCAGGGACCAGAACAAACAGCAAATCACGGTGAACACAAAAGGCACCATGTCGCGTTCTATAAGTAGACAAGGATGGAAATTAAGGATATAGTTAGAAACATGGTCTAAAATATTGCTAAACATTTCTAGACTTGGTTAGGTATCGTCTACGCTATGCAATGCGAATTCTGGGTCCATAGGTTTTTTTGAATCTGTATTTCTCTGAGTAAACTATATGCATATATACTCTCCCAATCTCTGTCTACTCACTCTTTGCACGCCAGATCTCAGCTATTGTGTCGTACTCCACCATAAACAACATGGCTGAAATGATGATGGCTGCCAACGTGGCTTTGGGCAAGTAGGCAAAGACCTGGGTCAAAAAGGCGAGAGACAAGAGTATCAGAATACCCGTAAAGGCACCTCCCAGTGGGGTTCTGACCCCGCTCGCATTGTTGATTGCCGAACGAGCAAAGGATCCCGTTATGGGTATCGATGAGAAGAAGCTGCTGAGGAGGTTGCAAAAACCCAAGGCAATCATTTCCTGCGAAGCATCCACAATCTTGCCCTTAGCTGCAAATATAAAATATATAATAATAATATATATTATAACATATTGTTGGGCTTACGCACAGAATGCTTTGGCAATTGAAACAACCTCCAATATGCAGAGTAAGGGTATTGTGCCCACGGCGCTGCCCAAGTTCGATATCATCTCACCAAAGCCAACAGTCTGACCCTCCTCGTCTACAGTTTCGAATGGCGGTGCACGAAAAGGTGGTAAACCCGGCGTGATTTGCTGGCTGATCCGAAATGGCATGTCCTCGCGCTCACGACTCATCAGATAGCAGATTAGAATGCCAATGATGACGGCCAACACGTTGCGACAGAGCGATAGATATTTAAGCACCGATTGACAGCTGCAGGACTTAAGATCCTTGAGTTTCTGTTGACATAAATACGATTTATTGGCATAATCATTGACCATGATCCATAAGCAATCCCAAACTTACCCTCATGAACAGCAGCAGAATGAGTGTGCAGCAGCCGAGCAGCGCATCATTCAGTCGCGTCTCTTCTATGTGACCAAAGAAGTTAATCCACGACTTGAGAAACTCATTTGATTGGCTTTGTATGCCAAAGAGATTGTTGATCTGACCGCTGCCCACAGTCAAGGCGGCTGACAACGTAAAGCCCGCTATCACTGGCGCCGAAATGAAACGCACCAGCACGCCGAGATTCAGAAAGCCCAGCACCAAAACAATGCAGCCCGTTAGAAAGCATATTAGGACTGCATAGTCTGGCTTGCCGGCAACATGTGGATTGACCATCATAGATATTATGGCTGTGGGACCTGTTCATTTGTTGAAATAACTAATTATTAAGGTAATACAGTTTTAAACCGAAATCTCCAAATGAAGCCATCATCGATAAATATCGATTTTCCAATTATTTCTAACCTTCTGTATATAAAGGCTTTCGTAAAAGGCTTGTTAAATCCTCTTCACCTTATTAAATCCCACCCACATTGATTCGGACATAGTTGGATTCTTATATCGACTTGTTTAACCCTAGTTCACTTATATGGTCTTACTCACCCACTGTAACGTCCTTGCAGGTGCCGAAGATGATGTAGAGAAAGCAGCCCATAAATGACGAGTATAGACCATAGACCGGGGGCAGTCCGGCGACGGCGCCATAGGCAATAGCCTGAGTCACAGCCGTTAGGCCGACGGTCATACCCGCTACGAAATCGACAATGAGGAATTTCAGGGTATATTCGGGCAGCCAAGTCAAAATAGGTAGCTTGCGCTTGACCGTATTTATGCTGCAGCAGGTTTTCGACTTTTCGCGCATAGCTCCGCATACGTTGGGCAGGTGCTCGTGATAGAGCTCATCTGGATAATAGGACACGTGACAAGAGAGAGAGAGGAGAGGGCGTTGAGGGAGTAGTACTTGAATTTTGATTAAAAGCCGCAAATGATTTGGCCACGCTCGCTCGCCTTCTTATCTAGTTGACAATGCTTTAATAATATTTATTGAATTTCACTCTAATCGAAGTGAAGTGGGCCACAACATGTTAGCTCTACCGTCTACTTGTCTGACACAAATTAAAAATCCTCTGTGCTAGATTGAGATTTGCCGTATATCAGTATAAATTCCCATGAAATATTGGTAAATTTCCATTGACAGATTATTTATGTTTTTAAGGTTTTAATCGATTTAGATAATATTGTGGGCGCTATCAATACTTGAGGAAACTAGTAATATATTTTCTTTAACGTTACAATCGGAACAAGGGATTAATGTTGAATGACATTAATGTGTCTACTGTGAAATGCTTATGTGCTCTTTCAATTACAATTAATACGACTATAATTGAAATATTTCTTTCGGGTAGAGAACATTCATTTAAATGGGACTTCGCCTGATATATAGCACTGTAGCTTGATAATATGCATATTTCCCTGACTATTGCTGTAGAGCTTAAGAGTTAAAATTGATTAGGAATGTATTTATTAATTCAAAGTAATTCAAGTAATCTTCAAGCATACACAAAAATATTTTTCATAAATCCACCCAAAATTTTGTGTATGGTCTTGAACCATTTTTGTTGTCTTTTATGATTCTACTTTTATATCTGAAGTCCTTTCTTCACTCAAGTTTTCTTGAAAATCGATAATGGAATCGAAAAATAGATTAAAAATCAATATCAGAATCTTATGGATAATATATGGATCCACCTTTGGCATAAGCAGATATTAATTGTCTTTTTTTTATTTTGTAAATTGTTTTTAGATGAAGTGATATCTTAACCATTGTTGAAGGCTTTCTCTAGTGATTTCACACATCTTAGTTATATTTAGAGAGCTTCTTATAAAGATATTATGGAGATTTCGTCCACACTATCATTTACGTACATCTATAATTATATTTGTATTTCATTCTCGTAATATTTGCATTATCAATTAGTATTCTCTCCCGTTTTTTAGAAATTGAATTGAATTTCTATTTTGCACTCTAACAATTATAGCTCATTTATCAAGTATTGGAACGTACCGTCATAGTCACACATATCTGTAATTTGCACCGTTATATTTTGCACTTTACGCGTTTCTCTCGTAGGGTACTTCACACTGAGTGGATTTTTTTATTAGAAACTGCTTGACAAGTTGTTAAGAAGAAAGCACGTGCTTTCCGATTTGTGGGTTCTCAAGTGGAAGATTGTGGAGGAATTGCTTTGCGATGTTGTCTCTGCCAATGCAGAGCGTTGAATGCTCGACAAGGTATCTTTGCTCCCGTATATAGGGGTATTGGGCTATGCCTACGATTTGTATCTCTCTGTTTTGTTTTTAAGTTCTGGTTATCTCATTTTTTCAATATTGCTGCAAGCGATTGAAATCAGTTAACGCTGGCTATACATAATGTATATGACAGCAGGCGTTGACATTTCTCACGCTTATGGTCAGTGGGAGGGGAGGTGGAACGTGACTTTGATTGACAGGTCAGAAGTCTTATCGATCCTGGTAGCGAAGTTCAAATACCCTGGCAGGCAGACTATGCAGCCTTGTGATATACATGAATTACTCCATTATCAAAACTTAAATAAATATTTTAATTAGGCACGTAAGAGACGTGACCGGTAGCTTAATGCTTCCACTTCTAAGCTCTAGTTTATTTTTGATTGTCATGCACCCATTCAATCTTAAGGATTGTAGGCGTAGAGCTTTAGGGGATGTTACAGTTGTTAAGTGACATTTCCCAAATCTCGCATCTCGCATTGTTGTGATTATAAAGTAGTTAACGTAGAGTATTTGACATTTTTACATAAGCTCTACTTACCCCTTACCCCTTTTCACTACAGCTACAATTTACCAATAGACATATGTTACTGCAAACTAATATGCTCTGCTCTATGTTTTGAAAGAGTATATTAAATGACTTGTCTAATGCAGCAGAAGCCTATCTATTAACCGCATATCTCAAAACTTGGCTAGAATTAACTCAAGTTAACTGGAATTCCCCTACTATCTCAGCACTCTCTTATCTGTAAATTACTAATTTTTTCCGTCTTTCCCTCTGTCTCAACAGGTGACCACAATGAAGGATTCTGTACAGATTCCCATTGCCGTGTTGAAGGCTGGCGAGACACGCGCCGTCAATCCCGACGTTGAGTTCTACGAATCGAAGGTGACGTTTAAGCTAATTAAGGGCAGTGGACCCGTCTATATACACGGCCAGAACATCAAGGACGATGTTGAGGTTGTGGATATGGAGGAAGAAGACGATGAGGACGATGGCGAGGACGATGAGATTGAGCATCCAAAGAAGCGCGCCAAAATCGAGCCCAATGCCGATGGCAAAAACGCCAAGAACCCGAAGAAGAAGTAAATCGCAATCAATGAAGATGTGGAAGAAAGATGTCTCTAAGCTAAATCTGTAGATTTTAAAAGTGTTTTAGGCCCTATAAACAATATACATTTACAATACATAACATAACATAAAACCATACGATACGATATGTAAAACTTGCAACATATATATTACAACCTACTATTTAGTTCCTTTCTCTGAGATTCTTAAAATCAGCAACAACATTCAATTCACGCACTAAAGTACTATAACTACTGATGATGTATACAGACTACTAACACCTATCCAATAAGCCAAGTTGTGTAAACAGCAAACAGAGAACTCCAGCGACTAGTGGGCGCGCCTTGAAGCACATATATTTGTATATAAGTACTTTACAAAACGATTATAACTTCAGTCCCAGATGCGCTTTAAACGCTGTCCTCGATTTTTATACATCAACAAAGGAAATAAACCGAAACTTATAAAAAAACTAAACTAAGGAATGTTTTAATTAAATAGTTTAGCGCTCACTAAACGCAGCTGTCATGCTGCAACAATTCTGATACTAAATTGAAAAGCGAAGGTTGAAATGGGTGTTCCACCAAGAGATACCCTATTTTCGCAGTTAAGATACAGTATGGCGCATAAGTCCACGCACCATCTAGCGTCTATTTTATGCAGCAGCTTTGCCAAATTGAAATTGAAACACAGTTTATAAAGAGTATCCGACTAAGGCATACTCTACCTATGAGGAATGGAAGAGCACAATTCCTGCAGTAGTTGGAAATTTGGTTAAACGTAACTCATCATGCTTTACATATGTTTTATATATTTCTCATTCAGGAATCCAACAAAACATATTCTTTGTGGGTTCAATTTTTTACTGTAAATATCATTTGAAAATATCGATACTACAAGAAAACCAATGTTGTGCAATAATTTATATTTCTGAGTAATCTGCATTCACACATTCATACCCGCATCTGAATTCTGATCTAGAATACAAATATATATGTAGATGCTTTAGGAGATTCCGACCAGGTTAAATGAAAAATATCCCCTTACAATTTACGAAGTTATATTTCCTTTAATGATTTTCACTTAGTTGATTTTCTTAGCCATACAGACGAAAAGTTCCGGATGTAGAGAATTGAATGCCTATGAAAAATGTTCTTAGCCATTCTAATTTCATATTCAAAATATCTTCAGCTAGGATTAGACGTTGCAAAAGCAGTTGCAATCGCTGTTCCCGTCGCGGCTTCCATTAATTGCAGTGTATGGGGCTGTGACGCTTAGGCGGGACTGGGCATCACCTTGATCCGCTCGAAGGCTGCCTTCTCCAGCGCCTCGCGGTGCTTGGGGTCGGCGACCTGAATCAGTTCGTACATGCGCTGGCGCACATTCTTGCCAAACAGGGAGGCAACGCCGTGCTCGGTGACCAAGTAGTGGACGTGGGCACGAGAGGTAACAACACCAGCTCCTGAGGGATTACGAATGGGAGAAAAGGGGGGCATTAGTAAGAGGATCTAGGGCCGTTGCGGACTTTAGTTGACTTTACCTGGCTTAAGCATAGGCACAATCTTGCTCTGTCCTTTGTTGGTGGTCGATGGCATGGCTATGATTGGCACGCCCAAGCCATCGAGGGCTTCTGCTGCACCGCGAATGAAGTCCACTTGACCGCCGAATCCTGAATAGAAACGTGTGCCAATCGAATCCGAGCACACCTGACCAGTCAAGTCCACCTCGATGCAGCTGTTGATGGCCGTCATGCGGGGCTGCTGCTTGACAATGCTCGTGTTGTTCACATAGTCAATGGCCAACATCTCTGCAAATAATTACAGCGGATTAGGGAGTCTATATAGCCAATAGGAGTTCAGGACTCTACCGATGAATGGATTATTGTTGACAAAGTCGTAAAGGGCCTGATTGCCGATCAGGAAGGAGCCAACGATGCGACCCTTATGCATAGTCTTTCTGCTGTTGGTCACGCAGCCTTTCCTGACCAGTTCGACAACACCGTTGGCGAACATCTCGGAGTGGATTCCCAGATCCTTGTGATTGTGCAGTGAGTTCAACACAGCGTCCGGAATGTTGCCAATGCCCATCTGGAGTGTGGCGCCATCCTTCACCAGGTTTTCGGCAATCAATTTGCCAATCTTCTTCTCCACCTCCGACAGCTCGCCGGTGCCGTGCTGAGGTAGTTTGTCGTCCACCTGAATAGCGAAATCGAAGTGCGACTTGTGGATGATGGAGTCGCCAAAGGTGCGAGGCATATTGGGATTGATTTGAGCTGCAAGCAGAGGGCAGAGGTACAGGTAAATATACAGTACCGAGCAAAAATGAGTGAATGTTTCACAACTTTGACTTTCATCACGCATAAAAATTAAACCATACAAGCAAATTAAGATTTTGTTTTTTATACTTGTTTATTAGTTTGTTCTTAACAAATAGAAAAAGTTGCAACGCTAAATCAGCTAAACTCAATTAATGAAAAATAAAAAACCAAAAAAATCCACATAAACTCAATTTTGCACGTTTCATAATTGCCAATACTTTGGCTCTTCTACTTCTCTTCTCAGCCGCAATCATCCAGATTTCCCCATAACTTAGCTCCTTGGGTATTCTTCTTAGTCGTAGATTGAGCATGTAGATTTACCGTTATCTTAGTCCTTTTAATATTCTTATTTGTAAAGCGATTTGAAGCACATTTTCTTTTCGCAACAAATTTAAAATAATTGGTGAAATATAATTTTAAAATGTGGAAAATTTCAGTTGACATTGAAAATAGTGGTGTGTGCCTGACCGGGAAGGGATTTCCTTCGCTTATTATTGCCGAAAAGCTTTGAATCAGCCGAAATTTGACTCCGAAAACTCAAGTCAAAGGTTGCAAAAAACTGTTCTCGGGCTCTGATGCTCGCCTAATGATGTCGAAAATTAAGAAAAACAAGCTGCTAGCACCAAAGGGTGTTTCTCTAGCAATTAATAAAAATGTTAGCAAATGGACTGCTAGAAGAGAAATTCGTGGCTTCGGATATGTATCATTCGTTAAAAAACAAACCTGCATTGTCCGAAAAGAATATGAAGGCGCGTTTGAAATTTGCAAGGGATCACAAAAACTGGAGCATTTATGATTGGAAACGAGTTGTTTGGTCAGATGAATTAAAATTTAACCGTTTCCAATCATATGGAAAGCAATATTGCTGGTGCAGACGTGGGGAACGCATTCAACGACATCATGTAAAGGAAATCGTCAAACATGGCTGCGGCAGCATTATGGTTTGGGGATGCTTCTCTTGGTAGAACGTTGATCCTCTACATAGAGGAAGGATTATATGAATATTCTTCAAACCCATCTTCCTAAATTCACTGATAAATGTGCGTGTCCCCACAGAGAAAGGGTTTTCAACAAGATGGCGATCCAAAACATACTGTAAAGATTATTTAGGAATGGATAGGAAAGCAGAATTTTAAGCTAATTTTCGCTCCATACATATAGAGTCTATATAAATCCTATCCCGACTTCAATCCTATTGAAAATCTGTGTTCAATAGTGAAAAGACGGCTGGGACAGTATGATGCAGCCCCAACGAACATTGACAGCTTATGGGAGCGCGTAGAAGCGGAGTGGAGCCAATTTCCGAAAGAAATGATTCAAAGTTTGGCTGAGAGCATGCCAAAAATAGTCAACAAAATTATTGCTAATAAGGGTTTTGGACTAAATATTAAAAATGTTTAGTTTTTTTAGTTTTTAGTAGTTTTTTTTTAAACGTGCAAAATTGAGTTTATGTGGATTTTTTCGGTTTTTTATTTCTAATTTTTTTAATTTTGCTAATTTAGCCTTGCAACTTTTTTGTATTTGTTAAGAATACACTAATAAACAAACACACACAAAAATTTGTTGATTTGCTGGTATGGTTTAATTTTTATGCGTGATGAAAGTCAAAGTTCTGTAACATTCACTCATTTTTGCTCGGTACTGTATATATCTATATATGCATATGTATATGGTAGGTATGAATTCCTTACCAACAATCATCTTGGAATGCAGCAACGCAGTGCGAACGCAGTCGACGCTGGTGCCCAGCGAGCAGAAGCCGTGGTTGTCTGGCGGCGACACGTGGATGAAGGCCACATCGGGCTTCACCAGTTTCTTGGAGAAGAGCAAAGGAATCTCATGCAGAAAGATATGCATATTGTCGCCCCGCCCCTCGGCAACGGCCTTGCGAACATTGCCGCCCATGAAGAAGGAGTTCGAACGGAAGATGCCCTCGTACTCGGGCTTGCAGTACTCGGCCGGTCCCTCCGTATGCATGTGGCAGACCGTCACGTTCTCCAGTTTGTTGCACTTGCCGTGCTGTGACATTGCGTTGAGCAACGCCACGGGCGTGGCCGCAGCACCCTGCGCGAAGACTGTGTCGCCTGTAAAGCAAATGGAATTGATTAGAATACAAACATTTATTTGTGATTGAGATTGATTGAATGCATTTGAAAGTCTCGAAAGTCTTAAATGATAATTATATATATATCCCCTCTAATGCAATTTACCTGATTGATTGATTGACAAGCTAATTGATCGATAGCCTGATTAATATTACCAAATTGATTGATAGATTGATGATCGCCCTAGAAAATGGCACAGGCAGTGAATACCTCACAAAACAACTTTGAGTTATTGAAGACTGAAGTGGAATTTAAATGTTTAGTCTAAAACAAATTTATTTTGCAAAATGTTTTTTAATTTAGGACTGATTGTACCTCTGATTGACCAATTGATTACTGTCTTAGTAGCTACATTTATCTTTAATGACTCTTGTGATTGCTTGCATAGATTTCACTTAATGACTTCATTCATTCATTAAAGGTTAAACAAATTTAAATGAAGAGAATCAATTGACTGAATTATGAACTTCAATCATACAGTCTAAGCTAGATTTGTATTTCGTTGATTAATGAATTTGCAATTTGATAATTGACATCCTTTAATGGCTATTTTTATTTATGATTACATAGACACATTCTATAAATGTGGAGTTGTAAAGGGACTGATGAATATATCACTTTTGCAATCAATCATATGGCCTAGGAAGCAACACTTGTATTCTTAGTCAAGTTTAGAGAGTGCACACTGTACTTGATACGATACGACTAGTTGGCCTTGCAATCGTCCAAACGATCAACGAACTTACAGTATATGCAGAGATACACACATATACGTATACACTTGTGTATGTATGTAAAGCTGTAGGCATGCCAATTTTCTATTTATATGGCACCCTACGGATGCAAAATTCTGTCAAAACGTTTCGCTTCCTTATTTTTGATATCTTAGGCCAACAAGAAAAACAGAAAGTGTATAGATACATATATGTGTATGTGTGCATTCTGTATGTATGTATTCGTCTATTCAAATATACAGTTAGATAAACTACAAGTACTTGATATGAATAACAAACACCATTAATATTTAATAAGCTGTTAATGTTTGTTCTCTCTCTCATTATTCAAGCTTATCGAATAACCGCCGCACGCATGTCATGCAATCGCCTACATAACAGCTGCGTACCTGCCTCAAAATGTTATCGAACCGAACGATGCCGCGTAATGCCAAAAAATAAAAAAGAATTTAAAATGACAACAACAAGAAACACTTTTCCAAACGATATGACGTAGTTGATTTAGCTTTGCTCGTGCTGTGCAAATTGATCTAAATTTAGAGCGCCAATGCTAACCGATGTTAGATCGCAAATGGAAGAAGCAGAAAAAACAGTTGAAGTGCGAGCTAATAAACAATCAGTTTAAAACGTAAATAAACTGTACGTTATTGCAGAAGGCGTGGCAGCTTGAATAACTAGTTTCATTAGGATTAATAATATTCTTCCTTCTTCTGTTAGCTCTTGCGCAACTTGTCGATTGAAATTAATTGAATCAAAGCTAAATTAGTATGAACAATTCGGCAATTTCTTTGGTATGGGGAGCTGTATGTTATCAGTGCTATAGCACCGCCCACATGGAAGCAGCCAATAAAATGCTAATGCGAATGCGAATGCCGCAAAACAGCAATTTCTGATATGTTGTTGCATAATGTCCAACATGCATATATTCATTATAGCGGTTTCAGTTTATATATTTATTAATATTGCTCTTATCAGCACAGCTGTTAACTGCCAGCCAAGACGCGAGCGACTGTGTTATGTATATATTTCAATCTATGTACGTGTGTGCGTGTGAGCGTTTCTCTTTGCGTGTGTGTGTGCGTCTTCAAGTTGAGCTTCTCTCGCAGGGAGCTGAACAGCTGGACAGAGTACAAAGTACACGCCACTATTCAATCGTGCTCAACACTGTTTTCATATAACAAAACAAGAACAACAACTGCAGCTCCTATCTGCTGATCTACAGTGGAATTATGCATACATTATGTATAGATTAGAATAGTGGATTTTGCATACGTGGGGGTTGGTCATAAATTACTGATATGGACATCGTCTAATCGTAGGACTAATCACGGGCAATTGATTTCTATATGGCCGTTGCTATTGAGCACCCTGTAATTGTCCACTTAATATGTTTATGTACTTAGGCACGCACACACTCACACAAACAAATATGTAAATAGTTTAGATTTACAAGCGCCACACAAAGAAAACACATAGACACACACACACACACACGCACATACATATTTATAATAAAATTTGCATGCGATAGTGACAACCCCCACGGCCCTTTTGGCTGTTCGCATTTTCATTCTGTTTTTCTAAGCAGTCGAACCAGGGCGCACTAGTATGTCGGTGGGGGGAGGGAGACAGCAATCACGGTAGTCGCTGGCACGTTACATAACACTGTCGATTTTATCACTTCGCTATGTTTTGGCACTGAGTATGGGCTGAAATTGGGCATTGTGGGCGGCAGCCGCCACTATCGCTAGCCGACTTACCAGACTTGATGCAGGCCACAGCCTCCTCGGGCGACACAATTGGCGGCTCGCGTGGCAGCGGATGCGACAGCTCATTCACATAGGTGAAGTAGTTGTTGTGCGAGCCTACGGCGGCGTTCGCAGTGGGCATGGACAGCAGTTTTTTCATTTGACGAACATTTCGGATCAGTTGTTTGCTCATGATTGCACGATTAATTAATTACAAACACACTGGCACAATAGAGAATGCAGGCCTTTCCTTAAGGTAGTGATTGGAAATCTGGTTTACACTGCTCGCCCAGAACAATTCTTATTGTGTCTTGCCGCTCCAGCGGTGCGATTACAACTAGCCAAAAGCACGAGCTTTACCACACCGCAAAAGCTCTTCGACAGTGGACTATTCAAGTCGTCTTCTGCATCGGGTCGCAATTTTAAATTGGGATTCCAAAATATTATCTACATTTCTGATTATGTTACACAACAAATAAATAAAAATAAAATTAAAACATTTTGAAAATTATTTTTATTTATTTTGTTTTGATTTTGCAAACGACTTGACTTGTAAGTCAATTCATGACGTTGTTCAACACTGTAATGTGAATGACATGTGATTGGGTGCGCGCTAAAATTCAAAGCCTATGGAGTTTGCTAGTGCGCCCAAATTTCTGGCATTTATAATGATTATCGTGATTATTATGATAAGAAATTAAATCTTTATTAGGAAATAATATGCGCGATTCTATTTAATAATTTATTTTTATTTTTTAATTTAAAAATTTTATTTCTCTTGTATTATGAATGTTTTATTTCTATTTTAACATAAATATTTTAAGCAAATGAAAAGAATGTACATATTGTAAAATAATGTATTTGCATTTAATTAGCGTTTGGTTTATTATATTATAAATTCTAGAGATAAAAGCGCCTTTTTGACTAACAATAAAATTAACAAATTATGCACAAAAATTTAATACTTATCGATTATTATTTTTTTATGTATTAAGAGAACTTATGTGAAAAATAAAAACTATACAACAAAGTTGGAACTATTTACATGCTTTGTATTAGTATCTAAAAAATCGGTATTTAAATTTGTATATATATCATTTATAGATTTCTGCATATTATTCAGAATATATTGTGTACGTATATGACTAGCTAATGCATTATGGTTTCTTTATTTTTGTTCATCTCAAAATTTGACTTCGGCACATTTGGGGGGTTACATATATATGTATATATATAGAGTTTACATATTTATTAGGATCTCATAAATGTTTTATATATAATATATAGGAGCGCGAAATTATAGTGTTTTAAGGGAGTTGACTTTTATTCAATTTTGGACGGACCCTAAATAAAAGAGAAGTAAAGAGTAATCTAGTCGGGCGAGCTCGACTAGTAAATACCTAAACTATAAAATAACGGCACAATTTAAAAATTCAATAGTTTTTTGTTTGAACATATGTATATATCATATCAATATATGTATATAAATATGAGTTGTGCTGCACTGAATTTTTTTGTATGTGTATAAAAATTTCGAATAGATGCGAATTGCGTTGATTGCGACTTCGAGTAGTTGTTAAAGTTCTTTGATCTTTCAACTGAGATTTCTCGTTCATATATAGTATAAGAGCTAGCGCTACTTAAAATGTTTACTACGAAATTATAAGCTAGTAACTAAGCTAATTTTCTATGATTAGAATCTTTGTTTGTTTCTTTTTTGTTTTTTTGTTTTTCTTTTTGGTGATTTGTAGCTTTATCTTGTTGGCATCGTCATGTTGAGGCAGAGATCGTGATCGCGTAAATCGCCCCAGCCGCCGTTGCCTTTGCGAAGCTTCGATTTCTTGATCAAACTGGGCACCGTCATCATCAGCGAGCGCGGGAAGAGCTGATGGGAGTTGCGTGCTATACGCAGCACATGTTGCACCTTGGAAATCACCTGATTGGACTCGCAGTTCTTGTTCTTGTGATGCACGCCGCTGTCATGAATAATTTAGAGTTTTTAGTAGCTCATTCCCTCTCTCTCCTCATACATACCACTCGCCAATGTGAAAGACTCGAGGCCCCTTGACAATCATTGCGTGCAGCTTCCTCTGCAAGCACTGCTGGGACACATGCTGCAGCGACCAATCCCAGTTGTAGTCATCGTAGCTGCAGAAGTGCCGAGCGCAGCGTCTAATGCTCGTCCAAGTGGTACGATTGAAGGCGAAGCCCATGTTGTGCTTGCTGCTGATCCAGGGCATGGACTCCACCTGGGGAGAGGGAACATGAGAAAATGAAACGGGCATTAGTGGCTGTCACAACTCACAGCGAACAATGAAGCAAGTAAGATTTTGTGAACATGCAAATTTTTATATACATACATACATAACAAATATATAAAGCAATTGTGACCAATAAACAAATATACATTTTTTGTTTTGATAGCTTAACACAATATATTTTCCTTCTAATAGGCCCAATACACAGTGCATGGGGATCAGCACAGCCAGACTTTTAATGCTTGCGATGAATGCAAGGTGCATGAGGCCATCTCTAATAACTGTTATTTTTATTATTGAGTAATTTGCAATTTGCATATATTTTGCATAAACGATTAACGATATATTTAACGTTTACTACCTTTCGATAGTCTTGGCCGATGCTGCGCCTATCGAGCTTGGCGACGCGTACGCGGGCGCGCAACTGAGTACGTGTGGGTGTATATGTTTGTATGTATTTGTTTGTAGAATTTAACGGCATGCCACAATAGACGTAGACACACACAGAGATAGATTGAGAGAGACAAAGAGAGAGCCAAGCACACACACAGAATAATAACATAAAGAGAAACCACAATAACGTTAAGTATAAACAAAATGATGTAGTAACAGAAACATGCATTACGTAGGATATTTAGCTGACTAACATGCCAATAGAAAAACCAAAACATAAACAAATTGTGCTCTCTACTAACTAGTATAAGCAATGATGGAAGGTGCTGAATTCGAATTGAATTCTAAATTAAGTAAATATATTTGTATATTAATCGTTTTTGTTATGGAAGATGGTGCTACCTTCTGATAGACGGAATACAATGACGGCAGTACATGATAATTCCAAGTTTGTGCACCATTCTTATTGCTATTATCATTGTTATTATTATTATTATTGGTGTTTGATGTGGCGGTGACAGTGTTCATGTGGCTAGTTTTTTTATTGTTCATTATTTTATTATTCTTATTCTTATTATTATTATTGCTATTGTTATTGTTATCAACGTCTGAGGTGTCGCCCACATAGACCTTGGCGTTCTTTAATGAAGTGCTGGATGATAGCGCTGATGAGGACGCAGTTAATTGCTGTGAATTTCTATTATTATTATTATTATTATTGTTATTGTTGTTATTGTAATTGTTCCTATTTGATCCTAATAGACTGTTTGACGAGATCAGCGAGGAAGCATACGATTTTTTGTTAGTCTGCATCAAGTAGAGAAGAACGCAGAGAGATAAGATGATATTTAGATACGATTATGAATTGCATATGCAGGGTGTAAATGTGTGTGTGTAATAAAACATTATAGATTGAAGTTAACATACATATGTACAACATACATATTTCGAGTAAAATGAGTTACATTGAGAGATGTACTTATGTATGTATACAGCTATGTATGTGTGTATGTACGTATGCGAAAAATATGGTAGTAGTAGTTTAGTTAATCAAATTACTTTAATAAATAATAGATCCATAAAATGTATCGCACTTTAGTTAAACTACTGCTATTATATTCATCGTCACTGTATGTGTGTGTGTGTGTGTGTGTGTAAGTGTGAAGTACAGTGAAAGCTCTACAAACGAACAGTTTTAAGTGCCTATGTTAGTCGAATAGCTAACTAACTACTAGGACATAGATATACAAAATGCTTTTAACATTTCTACTGCTGTGTTTGCTCCAACGAGCTTTCACTGTAACCAATTTAAATGTTTATCTATTGCTTGACATGATGTGTACATTATATGTTTAAACAGTTTGTATTGGGCTAATAACAATTATATTGGCATAAGCGTGGGTATTTGCTTTTGGTTTTTGTTGGCATTTCGTTCTTTTGTTAAGAAACAAAAGGTAAATAAAAGAAATTGAAATGTTTCATATGGAAGCAGTTTTAGATTCTGTTGTTGTTGTTTTCGTGATGGTGGTTGCTGAGCGACTAAGCGACTAACGACAATTTCGTAGCCAAGACAAAGAAGCACAGAGAGATGTGAGGCATTATGATGCACTGGCTCGGCTCTCACCTTGCTGTGGTACGTATAGTAGTTGAATGTCTTTAGATAGGTGCCCAGCGAAAGGATATTGCACTGCGGGCACAAGTCTTTGGTGCGCTGCTGCATCATGGCCAGCAAGTAGAGAAAGTCCTCGGCCACATAGTGATCCTCCTCCAGGAACAAAACGAGACCTAAGCCCAAAATAGAATTCAATGAGTACACCACTTAGTTGCCGTTTTGGCCATGACTAACCGGTGTGAAAGCGAGTCACTTCCAGCTCATTGAAGACTCGATTCGCCTTCCACCACCAGTGGTGCTTCGTCTGCGTGAACTTGGCCTCACGGTAATGGCCATAGAGATCGGGATATAGAGCATTGTTGCAGTTGCTGATCAGAGCTCTGGAAAGGCAATCGGCATTACGGATGGAATTCATTTGGAGTTTGCACTCGGCACTCACTGCTCCTTCTTGATGTTCCTGGGGCAGTCGTTGGGATCGACGCCAGGAAACTCGTGCGGATGCGTCTGTATGGAGTACGGATAGAAGATCTGCAGCACCTTGCAGAAATCGATTTGCTGGACCAGGTCGTTGATGTCGTCGTCGTAGAAGTCGTGCGAGAAGATCAGCAAAGATTTCGAGATGTCGCGCGCCTGCGCCAGGCTCACAATTAGATGGCGCAGGTAATTGATGCGCGTGTGCACCTGGAATGCAAAATGTTGTACTGATTACTCACTGTCGATCACTCACCATCGATCAACCACGCACCTGCACGACAATTATCACAGAATCGTTTTGCAGCGGCCCGAACGTCTCCTCATTGAGCACAAGCTGCATTTCGTTGTATCTCACTATCTGACGCTTGATCTCCGTGTTGTTCGGCGGCCGATAGACCTCAAAGCTGATGGTTGTCGCCGCTCCACTGCCCGAGCCGCCCAACGAAGACCCGCTGCTATTCAGCTGGAGACCTGTCCGAAGAATCAAGTGAAACGGAAAATTTATATGAATGATGTTCTATTATGCCTAATTAATCAGTCAATCAATCACTCAGTCAGCTATTCACATGTGGTTTATTATCAAACAAGTCGTTAACCGAACGAGACTACTACTGTAGTCTTTCATCAATCAACCAGTCAATCAGTCTATTAGGTAGTCAGTCATCAGTAAATCAAACACTTTGGATGACTTTCGCTAGCATCAATCAATCAATTGGCTAGTCAGTCAATGCATCAATCATTCACTTCACTTCAAACAACCACTCAACTGTTTTACCCCTCTTCAATCAGTCAATCAATCAATCAATTACTCACCTGCAGCCGAGATGCTATGATTCCGCGTATGTGGAGTCAGATACTTGTGGAGCGTGGCAGGAACCATTGACATTATGGCATCCACGGAGTCATTGGTAATCGATTCGCTGAGCATCGCATCGCGGCTGTCGACTGTGCCGCGAAAGAAATCAATTTTGAATCAGTTGCACATGCAATTAGTGACGCTACTCACGATAGTTAAAATTGTGGTACTGCAGCAGACCGAAGATGCAGAGGGCCAAGATAAAGATGCTGCGCATGTAGAAATTGTTGCGTTTGCGCCCCATCGCCCCCGTATTGGGCAGGGGTATCAGTACACGACCTACAACCAGACCGAAAGAGACCGAGAGAGTTAATATTTATATCGAAGGTACAAAGAGAGTGATCGCTCGGCTCATAGGGAATTACCTCTCATTTTCGACATATTCCTTACTCAGCGCCTGAATGGCTAGCAAATGCCTACTGGGCTGGCCCTTTTATAGCGCCATCTGGAAGACACAGAGATTGAGAGGTAAACATTAATACGCATATATGCGAGAGTGTACAGTGAAGCGTCGCTTGAGTGGAAAGCTAAAAAGAAAGCCCAAATAAAATGTGAAGCACAATTGGAATATTTTTGATTCTTCTTCACAGCGTATATGTATAGATAAATATGTAAACTGTTGTATAATATGGTATAGTAAAATATATTGTAATATTATATATGTATGGTATGCAATATCCAGTATCTCTTCTACAGATTAACTGAGAGAGCATTGCAAAGTTGTTTAAGCTCTGCTGAAATAATCTTAAGTTTCGATTTTCGTCACTTAATTTTCACTTGAAAGAAAATTGTAGTATAGATTTGTTTTTGCTAAAGGTACAAGACAGATTGAAGGGAGATTAATTTTGCTAAATATTTACCTTTCTTAAGTTCTTTTCAATTAAACAACTTTTGGAACTATTACTAGATTTTAGAAGTACGAGAGTTTTGATCGGGATCAGCTTGAACATTTCATTTGCACATTTTCCGTCTGCAAATTTCACACATTTCATGGGAAAGCAAAATTTATGCTTCACTTTTGAGAAATATAGAGTTTACGTCCTACAAAATTAGCTGCCTTAAATTTTTAGCTTGTTATGGGCAATTAATATGGATTACAACAAGAACTGAAATTTTCAATTTTCAAATCAAATAGAACCCGGAATATTTATAAAAGAAACTCATGACGAAATCAAGTCAGTTGAGTTTGAAAGAAGCTCTCATTAGATTGTTTGGCGTCAGACTGTTATAAATATGGAAATTTGGCATAATGAAAGTCTATCCAACTAGAAACTTGATTTACATAAGTTTTAGTCAAACGTAAAGCTTCAATGGGATTTTGGAAAGAATGTGTCAAGACTATTGTGATGGTATAAACTAATAATTATAGCAGACAATAGATATGTATATATAGTACTGCAGAAATCTCTACTACGCAAAGCTTCTATATAAAAGTTCAGGAATGCATATTACGACCTTTAGCTGAATTCTGTGCATCGACTCAATAATTAAAAAACTGCAATCGTAAAATACGAATATGCACACAAAGCCAAGTTGGGGGCTATATAGGCAGTTATTAGAAACAGAAAAAGAGAGAGAGAGGGAGAAGGAGAGTGAGAAGCACTTGTTCAATCCTCGACCAACTTGAGCTGACGATATGTTCGTGTTGATGAGAGAAGAGAGAGAGAGAGAGAGCGAGAGAGAGAGAGAGAGAGAGACAGAAAGAGGCAAAGAGAGAGAGAGAGACAGAAAGAGGCAAAGAGAGAGAGAGAGAGAGAGAGAGAGAAAGAGAAGATCGACGTCGCAGTGGCCTCCTAGCGATACGTGGTCGCTGCCCAAGTAGTCATTAGGCATCTAGATTTAGCCGACCTACCCGAATCACCCGAACCACCCGAACCACTGGCTGGCTTGTAATGTGGGCGATCGCGCGGCCTCGCGTCAATTGCCATAAAAATAGAAGCAAATTTTTGGCGTCTGTCTCGCGTGACAAAAAGAAACGCATATATGATGATATATATATATATATACATATATATAATATAAATGACATACCTATAGAAGATGTCTTAGCGGCAGTCAAACAGATGCGAAAGAGACTGTTGATGCAGTCAATCTAGACAATTTCAAGATGTATTCTAGAAATTTTATAAAGTGGGAAATGAAACTGATTTCGATTTATAGTTGTCATTGATAGATGTATTATAATTGATGTATATTATAGGATTAGCATTATCTATAAGAATCTGAAGATGCAGCGAAATTCTTTAAGAAATTTTCTTATAACAGCTTAAAAGATCTATTTTATATCGAGCACTGAAAAATAATGAAGAGATTTACCTGGAATAAATTATGTGATAGCCTCTTGGTCTACTCTTGAAGAAAATCAAAACAAAAATGATCCCAGCTCTAAACCTATAGGAGCTTCAGTTGCTTTTCCAATCAGACACGCTCTTAATAGGAGTACATATATATAATTTTAGGTGGAGCGATAGAGCATTAAATTTGCTACTTTTCAGCGCTTTAATTTGATATCTGTAGCAAATGCAGTTCCTTACCGATTAGCGACGCTTGCTATATAGTGATGTTTTTTTTTATGTAGAGTATACACATCTTATGAATAGGAAAAAGGACGATATATTAACTATAATTGGAGTGGGGTTCATTACTATAAGTCATCTAGTCAGTTTTACAATCTAGAAGTGTAGCTTTATATATATATTACAATGAGTTAATTATATAGACTTTCGAATTATATATACTTAATATAATCATCTAGTAAAGCTCTCTATTCTGAATGATATGTAGCTAATGATCTGGCTACATCGTTTTTTCGGCTATATACCTAGAGAGTTGCTATATCTACCTAGCTCGTCCAAATTTCTCGCCTCCAAATGTCGCACCCCATTGGCCATATCTGTAGCCCTCCATCTGTAGCTCTATTTAGAGGTCATTAAGTCCAGCTCATTAAATGTCATTTGCCAAACAATAAAAACCGCAATTGATTGTAGCTCGTTCTCTTAACGCCCCCTTTGGACACGCCCCCCAAATGCCATGGCAACATTTCTACTTTTTGTTTTTATTCTTTCCGCCACAGTGACGAGCATTAAATTTATTTTTGGTTAATGAAATCAATCGAATTTCCATAAATAGTAAAAAACAAACAACAATAAGGCAAAACAATTTTGTATTTATATTTTGTTTTTGTTCTACCGAGGGGCGTTGCTTGATGACGCTTGAACTGGAGCTCAGGCTAAAGTGGAAATAGGTCTTACGTTTGACTTTGTGTGTGAACTTTGGATATCGATTGAGACAGTTAGGAGAGTGCCATAAATATACCCTGTAAACTACGTAAGTATATAAAAGCTAACTTTAGATATCTCTTAGGGATTGCAAAATTGATTGATATCAGTTAAATAGTCAAAAGTATCCAACTTCCTGATACCCTGTATTTCACAATAGAAATATTTATATGTATGAGAATTTGACTTCCAACTCGAAACCATAATATCTATTGAATATGCCATTGATATGTATATACTCTACATTTTTGTTAGTAAATTGAGATAAACATACTTAATCTATACTAACAAGGGTATCGTACTACCATATATCTAGTTTTCATAAGTAATAATTATGTATATATTTGCTGGTAATTTAATCTTTAGACATCGATTGAGGTTTGAGAAAACGTATAGCAAAAACTTTACACCTGGTCATTACTCTGTATTTTAATAAGCAACTCACATTTGCCTTTATGTATGTAACTCTCAGATACCCCTCAAATTGGCAATCTACTGACGACTAATAACAATAATAAATTTATAGCCTACAAAAAGGGGCTGCAGGGCAAAACAAAATGTTCTTATTAGTCCAAATCATAATTCTACGACTAAACATGCATACATTGTACATACGACTACAGGGTATTTAAGTGCAATTGTACTCAACACAAACGGACACTGCGGTCAAAAGCGAGACAGAGACAAAGAGACGAAGGGAGAGGACGGGCGGTGGGGTAGTTGGCAGCTGGGGAAACTGTAGCAGCTTTTCATATACAGGTGAAACAGGTATGTTTGTACTGTATTTATTTACTGTTTGACTGTTACGAAATCTAAGCGACAGTCATAGCACCGAAAAGGCATACAGTTGTTGTTGTTGTTGCTTTGACTTGAATAGACGTGTGCTAATTGATTGAGAATATTTGTTTGTTATTTTGGAATTTCATCTTACCTTTGGCTGAATTGGCAAGTGCGCAATGTTTTCGTTTGTGGCTTCGCCTTGGCTGTTGGCGGCATCGTTGAACGTTGATCGATTTTTCAGTTGGCTTCCCAAGTCCAAGTCCAAGTCAATTCGCAGCGTAACGACTGCTGCATTTGAATTGTTGCTGTCGTTTCGTTGTTGCTGTTGCAAATCGGGGCATTTTTGCAAAAGTCTCTCAATTGATTAATTACTTAAATAGGTTTTATTGCTCTTGTTGATGCGCGCCTTACGGCTGAGATTCGTGCAATTTTTACGCACACACACACACACTACATCTACAGATGTTGACACACACACTCACACATATGCTGACCCGCACCAGCACATCTTTGAAATCTACACGGATGAAGCTACATTTTATTAGCTGTTACGCATTGGATTAGAGCACATACGTTTTATGTAAATTATGTATTCACTTTTGCTTTCTTTTTTTTTGCATGCAGCAACAAAACTCACTTTTGCTTATCCGTCCGCCGCACGCAAATGTATCTTTCGTTGCGCTCTCACGACGACTAAAAATCAAAGCGAAACAAACAGCTGTGCTGTGTGTGCGCTCCTCAACACTTAGCAACGCTAATAGGGTGACCATCTCACCTGAATGTAAACGATGATTATGTGTAAATGGTTTTTAATAAAAATATTAAATATATTAAGGACATTTTGAATATAAATCTGTATTAAAAATCATAGTATATATGTAAGTAAATAAATATTAATTTTCTTCGAACTGGTGCAGAGTTCGCTCAATACGTCCAGCTTTGCCGGTTCAAACATAATTTAGATGCTTTGAAATTATTTTCAAATTGATTCAAGCTTATTAATTTAATTTGTAATTGAGCTTAATCAGATGTGGACATTAAAGAGTGAAGAGTGATTAAAACAGTGGCCGAATAAACTAATCGCATTCAAATAATGTGCAACCCTGTAAGCATATATCGCAATATCGATGCGACAAGTCGATAGACACATTAGTTCACTTGGAGTTGAAATTGCAGCCTTGGTGTCGTCGTCGCTTTGCACCAACCAACATTTTTGTTACACATATTCCAAAAATAATACGAACGCGCGTGAATCATACGCGACGTCTCGGCTGACAAAAAATCGAGTGTACATAGCATAAAATATAAAAAAATATTCAGTTATTGAATATATATATATATATTTCTATTACCCGAATACCCATAAGCAAATAAAAAATACAATAAATATATATACGTGTATATATATTTAGTAAAGTTGTCGTCGTTGCAGTAATTCCCATCTGTCTGCCCGCCCTGCCTACGCTGCCTTTCTGCTCCGTCTGTTTGATTGTGCTACTAAATTTGTATTTAATAGTTGTGTGAGTGTATTTAGCTAAAATGTTTAGTTTTCTGAAGCGCGAGACCAAGAACCAGGAGGTGGTCGAAAATGTTATCGGCGAACTGAAAAAAATATATCGCAGCAAACTGTTGCCGCTGGAAGAACACTACCAGTTCCATGATTTCCATTCGCCGAAACTGGAAGATCCTGATTTCGATGCTAAGCCAATGATATTACTGGTCGGCCAATATTCAACGGGCAAGACAACCTTCATCCGGTATTTATTAGAGCGCGATTTCCCCGGCATACGTATCGGACCGGAGCCGACAACGGATCGGTTCATAGCCGTTATGTATGATGATAAGGAGGGCGTTATACCCGGCAATGCGCTCGTTGTCGATCCTAAGAAACAGTTCCGCCCGCTATCCAAGTATGGCAATGCATTTCTAAATCGTTTCCAGTGCTCCACCGTAGCATCGCCCGTCCTGAATGCCATCTCGATCGTGGACACGCCCGGCATTTTGTCCGGCGAGAAGCAGCGCATCGATCGTGGCTACGATTTCACCGGCGTTCTGGAATGGTTCGCGGAGCGTGTCGATCGCATCATACTGCTCTTTGATGCACATAAATTGGATATATCCGATGAGTTCCGACGCTCGATCGAGGCGCTCAAGGGGCACGACGATAAGATACGTATTATATTGAACAAAGCGGATATGATAGACCATCAGCAGCTGATGCGGGTCTACGGAGCACTGATGTGGTCGCTGGGCAAAGTGCTGCAGACGCCGGAGGTGGCGCGCGTCTATATAGGCAGCTTTTGGGATCAACCGCTGCGCTTCGATGCGAATCGTCGGCTGTTTGAGGATGAGGAGCAGGATCTGTTCCGCGATCTGCAATCACTGCCCCGCAATGCGGCACTACGCAAGCTCAACGATCTGATCAAGCGCGCGAGGCTGGCCAAGGTGCATGCATTCATCATAGCAGAGCTGCGCAAGGACATGCCCTCAGTGTTTGGCAAAGATAGCAAAAAGAAGGATTTGATTAAGAATCTTGGTCAGGTGTACGACAGAATACAGCGTGAGCACTCCATATCGCCGGGCGATTTCCCAGACATCAAGAAGATGCAAGAGGTGCTGCAACACCAGGATTTCACCAAATTCCATTCGCTGAAACCGCATCTGCTGGACATTGTTGACAACATGTTGGCCAAGGATATAGCGCGCCTCATGGAGATGATACCACAGGAGGAAATGACACTTGTGCAGGACCCAGTTGTCAAGGGTGAGTCCCATTCGAGTACTATAATTGATATGATATACATACATATATTTAATTGTCTACAATTGTCTCTTGTTTCGGTTCGTCCAGCAATTGAAGGTATTTAATCAGCCTAACCTTTAGTCACACTTGCCGCCTGCATACAGAAACGATACTTGAGTATCGAATCACGACCTGCATTGCACATTCACTTAATTTTTATATTCGTTTATATTTTTAGTTCGTGACTAATTGTATGCGATAAGTCGCCTGATTCACTTGCTCCCAATAAGAGAAGAGATCGTTTATCGATATATGCAAAAAGGCATGCCAAATTTAGTATTTTCAGTTTCACTGTGCAAGGTCATTTACTCCTTTTTACTAATTTACAGATTTCAATTTATTTTTTCCTTTTATCTCTCTCTATCAATTGTTTTATTTTGCCTTAATAATGAGGTGCGCACGCGCAAATGCTGCAAAACAAAAAATCATAGCAAATCAAGTTGACCTAGTTATCAAATAGTCATACCAAATTGTGGAAAACAAGTTTCGTTGGCTCTACCACACACACACGCACGTAGGCATATACGTACATGTGTATATGTGTATCTAATGGCTGTAGCAATTACAATTTAACTGTGTAGCAGCGCATGCAGGCCAAATGAAAGCTTCAGGAACTGTACTTGGGCATATCCACTCGCTTATAGTCTAAAGTCAAATATGTATACTTATATCAATCTGTATATATTGACGAATTGACTGATTGATGATCGACGCACAGCATTCAGTGAAAGAGCGGGAAAGTAAGGTTTTCAAAAGAATATTGAAAATTTTCTTTTCGACTGGTTTTCTATATATATTGAAATTCAATAAATATATACATTGTACGATTCTATATAGAATATGGAAGTCCGATAAGATACATAAGCAGCTTCCCCATTTCGCACTTATGTAATGTGCCAAGCATAGAGTCAGGTAGATCTCTATATTAATATATGCATATACATTTATACATATATGTATAGTATTTGCTACATAAACAGAGCGATAAGAGCGACTTTTGCTGATAAGAACTGAAACCTTATGCCAGACGCACTTTTTTGGCGAAAATTCCGAAATATAGTTCAAGTAAATATTAGAGAGCGAGAGAGATAGAGATAATTAATGTTGTGCTACCATTCGCCGCGGTCTAAGTGAACTTGTTCGTCTCCTCTTATATCCAGCTCAACTATATGGCATTTGTGTTCTGATAAGCTTCTAGTTTGTACTTGGAAACGGGGCGTACAAGTAATGTTGCCTTTTCGGGGCGTGGTCACGAGTGCTAGCTCAAGTTATGTATATTATCAGACTTGCTCGCTTGTCGTCATGTCCGAGTGATAACAAAGTATCGAACCGCATTGTTTGCCATGATGTAAGCACTGGAAACAAAATGTGAAAAAAATGAGAAAAATACGTCAACGCATGACTCACGGGATAATGAAAAATAGGGGCATTGAGAGTCGAGTGGAGTGCGACTTCCAAGTGCTACAGCTCACACACAGATAAAATAGTATATATATATATTTATATTTTACAGTCCAGCGCATAGCTAAGAGTTGGACATAGACGCATCCAGATTCGGTGGTCAACCAACCATGACAATGGCCAACAGACTAAATAGATTCGAGTGAAAACTGAACTGTTATTGTGCTCTGACTGTATGATAGACTACGAAATACCCAGCAATGGCTACCACGTAAAACTAAACCCTAATGACTGGGGAGCAATTGTCCGGTGAATGCTTGCTGAAATGTGGGAGCATTGAGTAGTTGCGACCGGCTCAACTATGATATACCCCCTTCCTTTAGTTTTCCATAAACTACATATGTAGGTATATGACTATGGTATAGCCTACATTGGATTAGTTCTTCGAACTTAATAATTTCCTTCATTTAGTCAAGTATTTTACTGTTAGCCTTAAACTTATTGTTAGTATTGAAGTACACACAAAGAAACATCTAGTTTATATATTTCTTGGAAAGCATGATCTCAACTTACATATAAGAGATAAGATCATACATATCCATCCATACTCTGAGCCCTTTTCCAGTAAATATAGCTATAGTCATAATTTCTCTTATGATTACATCAATACTTCTTCAATCACCAATTTTCTCCGAGTGTACTTAAGCACAGCCTAACAAATGCATTAGTTTCTATATATAGCATTAGTATATACTGTACACATACAAGCGATTATAATTGTCGCTTCTATAACTATATTCCATGATTTTGTATGTGCGACCTCTGAACCCGAACATTGTTAGTTTGACGCCCATTTGTTTGCCCGGTTCGACTTTGCTTCGGTGTCTGAGCTAAGTTCAAGGTCTTGTGCTTCGTTGGCTGTTGCTCCATTTTGCCACCTGTTCATTTTCCACCCAATAAATTGTTTATTACGAGAAATATTAATCTTAAATGCAAGTGGGCCAAGTCAACTAACGGATATTTCTGTTTGCTATGATTATCTCGATCTTTTGTCGCGGTGCCAAAGGCTGCTCTCCAGTTAGAGAAGTAAGCAAATATTTAGATAGATAGATAAAAATCAATGCTAACTCTTATCAAGGTTTATAAACCTTTAGTATTTAAGTTTTACACTTGACTACAAGCAAAAAGAGAAAATTTCGTATAGCCGAATAGTAGAACCCTGCACTCAACTGTAATTGTTAAGATGTATGTATTAGTGTAGTCATTAATATATATGTATGTATAAATGACAGCTATATATGGATTCATTAAATATTAGTGTTCCTCATGTGTTGAGTATTATTAGGAGCATGTATTAGTATACGTTATACGTATTATTATACGTTACATATTGAATCATTCAATATTAATGCCTCACATGTGTAGGGTATTAGTTAGTGCGTGGCCCATGCTAGTGCCATTGCCCGCCCCTTGCTCAGTTAGCGCTGTTCTAATTTC